TAGTTTAGTCTCCATCTCACCAACCATAAGCCACCCCAAAAAGGGCAGAACGATGCAAAGGCAAGAAGAGGAGGTGATCTTCAGGCTTTTAATGGGAAAAAAAAAAAAACACAACAACAAAACAAATTGGACAGACAAGAATGGAGATGGCCAAAATCACTAGTCACTAGGAAACCTTAATCTTTTATTTCAGCACATCAAGTTAAGGGAATAATTTGTTCTTTATAATTTCCCTGCATACAGACGTGGGACTGGCAAGTGCTGATGCACAGGTAGATGGATTGCACAGCTGCTTCCACAGCACATTCAGGCATGGCAAAACACACACTAATACCTGTGTGAATCATGGAAACCACACAGCAAAGTTGATTGGTTGGTATATACACAGGAGTTTTGGGTTATACCCTAAGGAGGATGCCCATAGGGTATGAAGTTTTATCTCCAGGAATCTTGTAAGTGCTTGCTTTCTTCATGGAGAACATGTCTACAGGGAAACTCTACAGCTTATGTCATCCCATCTTGTTATAACTTTACAACTGGAAGAACCCACCTGTGCAGGTCCCTTTGTCCTTGTAAAATGATGCACTTTCCTGCCCTGATTTCCCCTTTGGAAAGGAGTTTGTTTTTCTTAAGCAAGCTCAAAATGCTATCCAAAATCAGACTGTGCCCAGTTTTTATATTAATGCCCTCAGGGTCTGAAATGGCATCATTTTAAATAGCAGAGAGGCGTATCAGTGTGATAGTTGTGGACCATAGAATGGATTTGTTTTACAATAAACCCCATATTGGTAAACAATAAACCCCATATTGGTAACCAGACTTTCAGCATGCTGAGCACATGAACCCATCTTCATGAGGTTCCTGCAGGCAGAGGGAGCTCACCGGAGCTGCCCATGGGCAAGAAGAGGCAGGAGCAGCTACAAGCATGAGCAGCAGCATAGTTGTCACACGCTTTTCATACTACTGCACACCTCAAAGGGAAAAAAAATTACCAGTAATGCTAATAGACAGTGTAACTAGGTCTATGTGCAAAGGGTTAAAGGCTGTCTTGAGAAAGGCAGAAGGGGGGGCTGTAGTGGAGCTGTATGCACATTGTACTTCAATCCAGCACACTTTTGGTTGGCAGGGCCTTTGGGCACCTGGAATTGCTTTCTTCCCCTGGTGTCTGCCCAGTCAAGTTGATGTGAGCTGTTCTCAGGCTCTTTGCCGAGTCACTGGCAGATCCTGCAGTGCACTCAGTGCAGGGCATGCAGCCGGAGGAGCAGCACAGGGTGGTTCCTCAGGGGTGGCGAACTGAAGAAAATTAACCTGGGCATAGGTGTGGCTCAGTGTAGGTGAATAAGAGTTGAAGCATAAATTTGCCCTCACCTCAGCTTCTCTCTTAACCTCGTGCTACCCAACCAAGAGCCCCATCCCATGGCCCGGGGTCTAACAGTGTAAACACCAGCCAGGCTGGGGATAGATCCCCATGTTCAGACCCTTTCCATCTCAGCAGGTATAACCCATAAGAGGACACAGAGCAGATGGCACTAAGCAAGCTGTGCAGAGTCTTTCCCAAAAAGTGAGTCTTTGCCAAAGTAAATTACCATCAGTTGTCATTTAAATGAGAATAAGCTTCACTGATTACTTTTTGCATAATCATTCAGAATGAAACCAGATGTTCTTCAGGCCAAGTTTTAAAGCTGCAGTGCACATTTAAAGAAAATTCTTACAAGAAAAAGGATATTGAGTCTTGTTAGTGAATTTGTTTATCTGATAAAACTTATCTTTTATTGGTGATGAGAATATATTTCTGAATCAGAAACCATTTCCCAGCTGTTAGACAAAGCTATATGGAAATTGCCATCCAACAATGTTAATATTGCCCCAGCATGAGTCAAGCTTTTGTTTGTTTTTAAAAAGGAACAGTAACTTCCCCTCAGGAAGACTGCTCTGAATCACAGCTAGGTTTGGGCAAGTGTTTTAACAGATTGATTTTCTGGGTTTAATTATTTTAATTTTACTTGCTTGGAACTTTTACTTTTCTTGACATGGCACATTTTCAGTCTGCAGCCAGGAATCTGGTTTTCAGTGTTATATGAGGCTTCAGAAGGAAGCAAATCACTCTATCTAAATCATCAGAGAAATTCTTTTTGGTTATCCAGTCTGTTTGAAATTGTCAGGACATCTCCTTTTCCTCCTAGCTTAAAAGACCTAAAGCATCCCCGCCTATGTGTGTTTCTTCCTGTTGGAAGAATATTTATAGCATTTCTGACCTTTGAATGAACTTTTAAGAATCAATAACATCAAAGTGGAAAGCAGGTCAGCAGCAGTTTTCCTCTTGACTAAGTGTAGCCAGTGTTCAGCTTGGAATATCTAATACAGGAACTACCATAATCACATTTAAGCAGCATTTTTGCAGGAAATTTGCAGATTTCTTATGCATTGTCATGTAGCTACCATCTGAAGGATATAAGGCCAGAGCCAATGGTGTCATTGATGGTTTTTTAAGTTGTTGTGTATCAATTTTTTACATGGCAGAACTTCTACAAGAAGCCTTGATAGGTGGTGCTGAAGAATATTTTTCTTAGCTGTGTTTTGCCACTGGAAAAATGTAAGCTGATTAGAAACTGTTCTCATTAATGACTTATCACAACTGAAACACCATCCATTTCTTTCCATTTCAGATTACAGTCATGAAATTGACAGTCACCCCTCGATGTGTGAGCAGAAGCAGCTATATGAGATGGTTCAAGACAAGATTTGTCGATTCAGAGTTGTTATCCCTATGATCCTACAACTCAAATAATTTAAAGGACCTTTCCTAATTCCTCAAATTTATGAAGTTCCTTCCAAAATCGAAGTGTTCCCATAATGAACTAGACATCTCAGTGCTGTTTGCTGCTTCCTTCTAAAGGGGAAATTAATTTCCCTTTATTTCATTGCCTAAAAGCGAAGTTTCTAACTTAATTAAATCCTTTCTTTCTCCAGAGCTTCCACCACAGAAAATTCTTGTTACACCATCTTTTGCCTACCACAGGTTCCTGGTAGAAACTGGTTCAGATTGTAACTCTGCATTAGTAGCCTGAATTCCAAATGCCTTGAGTTAAGCAAGATGAATCCCATTGCTAGGGGTGACAGTAATAGCTCTCACAGAGCGAGAGGTCTTCTGCCTTGTAATTAGAGTGAATTGTTGCAGCCAGGACTTCCTCTCATGCCATTCCATAGAGGTAGCAAGCAGGGTTTTGCTCTTTGCTGGAGCCTCCTGAAACTGCTGTAATACATAGGGCTTCTGTTTGCAAATACAATGTCATTATTTAGAAAATACCTCATAAAAGCTCAATTTTTCTCCAGTATTTTCCTGATTGACTGAATGGAGAGACAATTACAGCTATAAAAATCTTTTAATATTTCAAAAAGCTTTATAGCATCTCAAAAGAGTTGTTTTCATAAGTTTCTTTTTCTATGTCCATGTCATTTGAAGATTGTGTCTACTTGTTCAGTCAACCATCCAAATATGTCTAAAAATACAAGATATATAAAATAAATTTACTGTTATGACAACTTCTGTTTGCTCAGAAGTTGTTTGATCAAAGGTTTTAGTAGTCAGGAAATTAGGGAATTTTTTAAATGGATGCTATCATATTTATTATTATTGCATTCAGTGTTACATTCCTGAAGAAGAAAGAAGGAAAACATTTCCACACAAGTTCCACATGAATTATTAATGTCCACTTTGAATTTCCTTGTTTTTTCCTGGTTTATAAAACAGCCTTAATATAGAATCATTTTGTCTCCATTTCTTCAAATTTGTAGATTCATTATATCAAAGACTGGTTTTATTCCTCTCTCCACATACCCATTTCCTTCTTTTGCTTCTTTTTAAATTTGTTTCAAAGGTCAATATATTGCACCATGTACATCTTCCGTTCTCTTAAACATAAAGCTGTCTTAGCATTTCACTGTTCTCCAAAATTTGCATTTCAGCTTTCAGCAATCTCTAACCAAGTAGAAGTTGCTCTTTTCCTCTTACTCCTAACACATTTTAAGTACTTTGAAAAATTCTATAAAGCAAGAGAAAAACTGAAGTTGTGATGTTACACCTAAGTCAGATCTAAGTACTGTATTGGTTTCTAACTCTTCTGTCTCTATCATAAAGTTTGAGACTAAATAACAAATCAACCTTTTGTTTCACCAGTTCAACAGACAAAGGACATTCATATTAATATTTCTGATGAAACTGTAGTTTATCGGTTCATTGAGACTGCTATTTTGGCTCCAGCAAGAAGCTAAAGTTCATCTGGCAGTACCAGATGGATTTGAAAAAGCAACAAGGTTATGTGGATACTGGGACAGATCCATGCTTTGGAATCAGCCAGAGACAAAGCCTATGGCAAAGCTGGGTGATGACCAGCCAGTTTCACTTTCTACTGAATTTTCTAATTTGCTGACACTGCCATAGTAGTTACATGTCAGTTTAGATAATGCCACCATCAACAACATTGGGGTAGTTGTCCACTCATCAGTTGTCCACTCATCATTTCTTCAAAACTGTGTGATAACTGTAACTGCCCTTAAGAGCTACTTCAGTCTGTTTTGTTGGGTTTATGTCAGTGCTTAAAAACTGTAGGTCATTTTTATGGATGCCAAGGTACATGCTGTCTCTTACAGTCTGTTTTATCTCATGGTTTCACCTTCATTTGTGGCAGCTCCATCAGTCTGGTCTGTGTGGCCTCCTGCCTTCACTGCTGCAGTGTTTGGGTGGCAAAGTCCATGAATTTAAGTCCTTAGGTCTTGTGTAGCCGGTGCACACAAGGCTCAGCTGCTTCTTTTCTCACAAATGTCTGCCTGCCCCCAGCTACCAAACACCTTGTCGTGGTCCACGGTCAGTACCAGAACTTGAGATCTGCATTAATGTCAAAATAGACCAGCTGTGCACAGGCAGCTTCTCACACATCTTACAAGTACAGGAGGATGGGCTGGTCTCACTAACAGCATGCAATATGGCTTGATGATTTCAGAAAATGACGAGGAGCAGGAGGCTCTGCTGTCACTGGACAAGCCTGGTTGGTATTCCCAAGGTAATGCTATCCAGCTTTATGATCTACTGAAGAAGATGACTGGCAAGTTGGATCCTAAGGTATGTTACAAGTGAGAGTCAGTCTTTCTGAAAATACCCTGTTTCAGTCAAAAATCCACCAGACAAACTTTCATTAAAGTTATTGATGTGATTGGTCACAAACTTCTGTTCTGGTTACGCTTACTGCTGTCTAACAGCTTGTAGCCCAGAACTGGAAGTAGCATATTTGTCTTCTTATTGGTAGAATATGTTAACTTTCTAGATGTAAACTTTCTGTATGCAGGGTAAACATTTTAGAAGCTTTGGGAAGAATCAGGTTGTAATCAAGAAATGTCCCGGAGGAAATAGATCATATAGATTAAAAGACACATCTGTAAAAACTAGGGTTAAGTACAGGTCTGGATAGGTGAAAATGCCACTAATCATGGTGTAACAGCATTTTTCATAATGAATAATTTCCTCCCTGGACACAGAATAGTTTTGAATCACCTAGAAGAATGTTTGTCTTTTTTCCAGTGTAGTCTAAAACTTGTTCCAGTTTAGTGTATTTTTTTGGTAGTCTTTCTACTGCTTCCCGTCAGGCTATTTCTGTCAGCCAAAAAACTCACTTCCTTTTGCTGGTCCCAGTTAGGCATCCTGTTCCAATGCCTCTGGAGGGTGAGAGAAGGAGGGTGTGTGGGGCCAGCCTTTCCATTATGGAGCTGGTTGAAGATAAAACCCCAAACTTGACATTAATAGGATCTCTGCATGTCTTAACCAAGTGTAAACATGGAGGAATTTTTATTAGGTCATTTTAAGGCTCTTTTTCTTTCTCTGTGAAATACAGTTTGCTTGTGTGTTCCTCATATACAATGAACTTCTAAATTGCTTTTTCCCTCACAGGTTGTTTATTTTGGTGACAGTATGCACTCAGATATTTTCCCAGCTCATCACTATAGCAACTGGGAAACTGTCTTCATCTTAGAGGAGCTTTTAGGGGACAAAGGTATAGAGCCTGCAAAGGCTGAATCTGAGCCCTTGGAGAAGAAAGGAAAATATGAGGTAAGGGTTCCTGCAGATGTTTCTTGGAGCAGAATAAAGTAAGTTATAAAAATTCTCATGTCACCTGCATTAAGAATGAACCTGCTTGTCTTACCAGGGTGCTGGCAGCATCAGCATCTCCCACAGGTGTGTCCTGCTTGTCTTACCAGAAGGATGCTGTTCTGTCCCAGCTCAGCAATGCATGAGTGACACAGCACCTCTATCTGGAGCTAAACCATGGATCTCCGAAAAGGAGCTCTGTGTGCTCTCCCTTAGCAACAACCTTTTTAGTAACAAGATCCTTCCATCCCACAAGGAGAAATGTCATGCCCACTTATTGCAAGTCCAGTGCCTGGACTCTGCTGAGTTCATGATGTTTCCCTGTGTGTTATGGTCAACTGTAAGCAAGGAGGAATTTTTAATAATTGTTTTGAAGGTTGCTTTCTCTCTTGTGTGAGACATGCTTTGCTTGCACTTTCCTTATATACAAAAAACTTTTAATTTGCTGCTTCCCTCACAAGTTTTTTTTGGTTTTTTTTTTTGTTTTATTTTGTTTTTTGGTAACAGCTGTGCTCAGATAGGAGGGATGGCTTCAAAATCTGGCCCAGTGCAGACTTACTGATAGTTACCTCAGATAAGTAATATGATTTTCAGGTTGATCATAGTTGGGAAGCGGGGCTTTAGCACCGCTGTCACCCTTTATATCTCCCACAGAAGGTGGGAAGTTATTATGGTTTATCCTTTCCTCTGCTGCCAAAGAGCAAAGTAGGTAGGAAATAGCACTGAGGCAGCACTGTACCTCCAGGATGTCCCATGTAGGTAGGAGCTACAGCGAGGCTCCACTCTCCATTTGGAGTGTCTTTTCATTTCATATGCTACTGAATAAATAGGTCATTTTCTTCTAATTGCAAAGAAATGCAGATGCTTTTCACACTTTTCTTTGTAACACACTAAACTTTATTTTTCTTTTAAAATAATTACTCTTTGTGATTAAAAGGTAACTTACCAATAGAAAAGATATGGGGGGTGTGTTTATTCTTGATATGTTTTTAATCCAAGTGTTATAAAAGCTCCTGATTTTAATGGAGAAAAGGGTCTCTCCAATGGGACTGAAACAATATAGCTGTAATATCTATATCTTTTTTTTTAATAGACATATCTCATATTTTCCCCCACTACCCTGATTTCTAAACTGTAGTCAAACAAGGACACTTCAGTCACTGAAATAAGGAAATGTAATCATTAATGTTTAGGCTTTTTCCTGTGTTGTAAATAAACAAAAATGAAGTTGAAAAAAATCAATATCCTATCAAGAGAATGTGTTTCTCAGTAGGAAGGGGAGATGGGGGAGGAAGAGCTAGTAGCACATACAGGTTAATACAATTTGATTTAAATAATTAATTCTTTAAAAATAATTCAAATCTTCTATAAATTTGTTTATTCTCTGACTGGAGATTCTGCTGCATTGCTGCATAAAACCTAAAGTTTGGGGGATTTGTTCAACGTGGTTTCCTAAGTATGTTCATTATATGCTTTTGAAGCACACATTTTTAAACAGAGAAACAGAAAGTGGTTCTTTTCCTGGAAGTACAAAGAGTAATGGATTAAGTTTTTTCCGAGGCCACAATGATGATTTGGTTTTCCCTTGTTATGACACCTCTGCTCAACTGCTCACAAGATCCATCTTCTCTATCACAGCAGTTGTCAAGCAGCAAATTGAGGCTTTTAGACAGGTGCTTGACATTTCACTGACGCTGTAGCATTCTTGACAAGAGATTGCAGTATCTCAAGGAGACACCACCCCTACCACACACAGCCCCTATTCCGTTTACATCCGCTACCAGTGACAGCAAGCAAGCAAGGGAGAAATGAATCGCATTGATTAAAGGAACCTGAACCGGGGGGCCATGGCAGGTCAGTGGTGTTATTTCATTACCATGCTGCTCACTGGAGTCTGAACAACAGGTCACATCCATATCTCTGCAGTTGACTGGGCACCACTAACTTAACAGGACTGGTTCAAAGGGACTCCCTTTACAAACCTGTGAGAGTTTTATTTTCATTTCCCCAAGCAACTTCTCCCATTAACCCTTTGGTTAAGAAGGGAGAAAAGCCAATTCAAAGGATTGTACAAAGTCAGGTGCTTCTGGAAAATTAGTCACAGATTAGATTTCATCTGGTTAATCAGCTTAGCATTCATTGGCAATAAAATACAGTACTACTGTAGATATTCCATGCCATGTGCTGTGTGCAGAAAGGGACTGAAAATTTAATACGTGATGCAACTCTCAATGCTATAACTCTTTACAAAATACTATTAAAATTAGAAAGTATTACTTTATTTGGCAATTGCATCTTTCAGAAAGAAATTATAAAAATCTGGTTTTAGTTGTTTAACTGGTGTTTCATCACTAACAGTGAGAGGGGAAGAAAACAATCTTCTGACACACCAAGTGGGAGACTTGTGATTTCCATTTTCATATGCAGTTTTTGTCTTTTCCCTTCAATTAAATGCATGCTATAAGCCAGATACACATAACTGTGAAATTATGGTACCAACTGCAGTTCTTCTAAGTACGTGAGTCATAACCAAATAAGCAAGACAATAGCAAACTAAAAACTATTTATGCAGTTACTTGGCTCCTAAGTAAATTGCAGCATGCAGGGTGAATAAAAATACAAGGCATTGTGTTGAAACAAGATTTCCCTCCCTCCCTCCCAGAACTGGGGGTTTGTTTGTTTGGCTGGAGGTTTTGGTTCTATTCTTTAAATGTGTGATCAGTTCCATCAATGAAAACAAAAGAAAAGCTGGAATTTGTCCCAGGACTTTGAGGAATATTATTACAGAGAAGCTGTCAGTGTGTAAAAACCTTGGGCTATATGAATGAATGAAGCAGAAATCAAAGAATTAATTGGTGGATATAGGTGATAATTTTGTAGTTAGAAGGGAAAACTTAATTTTTACAATGTTGCCTAGTTGACTGGTTTGTTGTAGAAGTCAGGGCTGATATCCCTCTGCATTTCCATTAACTCCCTTGATGTGACCATGGACAAGGCTATTTATATTATGCATTTTGGTTCTGTTTGTCTCTTTATCTTTGGCACAAATCTAACAGTACTTCCAGGAACAACCTGATGTGCTATTGTGAAGCCTGGTGAGTTAAAGCAATATTCCTAGGGCAATATCCTGAAGTACAGCACATTTTATTAAATTTGCTTATAGTGATCCTTGTTGTAGTTTAGGTACAATATTCATGTGTGAAATGTTTTATATTTGCATGATATGTAGGAGGGCAGGTTCTGTGCAACAGAATTCAGACCAGTGGGAGGCTTGTCCATTTGCACACCCAGCATGAGTGTGGGATTCAGGGATATTCTGTTGTTGTGGTCAGCACAGCTGTGCTGACAGAAACATCTCAAATACTGTTACACCAGAAAAACTGTATTTTGAGCATTTAATTTTTTTTTTTTTTTTTTTTTTTTTTTTTTGGCATCAAGAGTTAGTGGTGTGTTACTACCTTGGGAAAAAGCATACAATCATCAGTACCATCACTCATTGGATGCAGTAGAGTATTCCTCATGCTCTGTTCTCGCTATGGCATAGATGGCAATTTGCATCTAAATAAAGCCCTTAAAAATCCTAACGTCTTGATCTTCCATTCCTGTCCCTTTTACATCTTTCTTTCTTTCATCCCTTTACCAAATGTAGAAAAACTTCAGAGCTTGGCTCCATGCTAATTAGTATTTTAGAAAGGTCATTTGCAAGCTGACAAACCAGTGTTGCCCAAGGGTCCTGTTAACAGATTCTGTCTATTCTGTTAACAGGCCCTATTTGTCTAGAGTTAGCAAAGCAAAGATGGTAGCAAGTATTCCAGGTGTTTTGACTTTGTGGAAGGCCCTGGAACTTGGGAATTTCTGGTACCATCCCTATTTCCCTGAAGTGTAGATGTTTTCTTTGAGGCTTTGTGCCCTCAACTGACACAATCAACATCTGACCTGCTGCTTCTGACCAGTATGCCTGAGAGAAAATCCTATGCCTGGGGGATTTGCATGAGAGAGAGGGATTGCCCAGCACTTCCAGGATCTACTGTCCTGCTGTGAGTGCAAATTCTGTGTCTGGGGACTGCAGGAGTGGCTGATGCATCTTCCCGGGCTCATCAGCCCTGCTGCTGGGCATGTGCCTCCAGGCATGTGAGTAGCCACAGCAAGAGGAGACTTTGGCCTCGTTTCACAGATGTACAGATTCATGGTGTGTGGTCTGTTCTTCATTGCAGGCTATGATATGTGCTGCAGGTGAGATAAGAACATCTTCAGGGCATCAGTTAGGGATAGAAGGGGGAGCAATGTCTGATATTTCATAGGGATGTGATCAAAGTTTCTCTCTTTACAGATTTTAAATCGAGATTTAGCCTACCACACCTGCCCTGTCACATGTAGATAACCGGTAGCAAAGTGATGGGAGCTTTGAACCAGGTCACTTGATGAGAAGTCTTATATCTAACTGGGTTTGATTTCACAGAGGGCTTGGGTTGTAAATCAAAAATTTAACCCCCTCCTCCTTAATAAGGAAGAAAATCCCACTCTAGAATCAAACTTCTGTAAAAATCAGTTAATTTCCTCAGGCTTCATTTTTAATTGTCTACTGAACTAACCATCCACTTCAGAAATCAGAACTCTCACATCTTTCCTCTTTTCAATAAACAGGACCCTGTCTTTTCTACAAATGCTTATGTGGGCCAGTACTGGAGTTGTTGTTTTGATTAATCACCTGAGCAGCTGTAACAGCCTTAAGAATTTTCTGCGTGTGTCATCCAGCTGGCAAACAGATTTTAATTCATCAGAGCATCTAAACTTAATTATAATTGATGTAAAGTCCTGGGATTGGCATGGAAAGATAAGATTTAGTGGAGGAAAAAAAGAAAGTAACATGCTGTTCCTTTGTGCAAAGCATTAAAAAAAAACCCAACAAAAAATCCCAGGACTTCAGTTAAATGCTTATTTTGCGACAAAAGAGGAGTTTTTTTTCTGTTTATTTATATCACAAGACGGAAGTTAGTATCTATGTTTGTTGAAATCAGTACTTCCCCAACCCCCATCTATACTCAGAGGAAAAACTGTAGCACAGACTCATGGAAGAGTGGCTCTGTGTTTACTGGTGTGGTCTCTTCAGCTGCCTCAACAGCTTCCTGATCAAAAGATACAGGCCTCTGTCATAAACACAAATGGTTCCAGCAGATTCTCAAAGCTGTTAAGAGAGATGGTAAATGGAGAATAAAATACAAAAGTTCACAAATCTGGAGGCACAAACTGTGGTATCTGTTCTGTAGTTCTGAGAAGTTACTTTGCACACAAATGACTTTAACAGATTTTCTTTAGTGTAGTTTTGTTTCTCATTCTTTCATCTTTCTGTAGATGTGTGCTGGCATTTTTTTCTGATTGCTTATGGCAATGTATAGCAGGTCTCAAGATGAACTCGTAAAAAGTCAGTTTTTCCAATGCTGCTTTAATTCTTTCTTTAAAACATAATTAGTCTAAATGTTGTCTGAAAATATACATTTAAAAATTTTGTATTCTACAATTTTCTAGGCAAATGTTTCTCCATGGATTCTGTGGCTCTGTTTTCACTCATTCCTCAGCTCAGAAATAGATAACACAGGTGGCATGATGTATTCTTTGCAGTTACTCCACTCAGCATGAGGAATCTCCTTTTCCCCCAGGACCTCCCTGCTGTAACATAGCCTCTCCAGCAGAGAAGGACAGCAAGCAATTCACACTATCAGAAACAAAAACAGAAGAACAGCGAAAATAGAAGTGGTTTTCTTCAACGGTTTAAAAAATATTTATAGTTAACTTTTTATGTCCTAGGGAATCCATAAATTGTATAATCAGGAACTTGGGGACTTATGGGAAGAAGATTGTTATTGTATTGTTATTGTCTTCATATTTTAAAGCCACATTGCTCCTGAGATACAATACAGACTTCCCAAACAGTCAGAAAAACTCTAGAGTTCCCTAAACTAATGCTTGTGGATAAACAAAGATTTTATTTTTTTTAAGCTGACATATTTATTTGCTTTTCTTTCAGGGAGATCAGCTCAAAGTTCCTTACTTTGTATCTAAACAGTGGGGCTCTTTCTTCGTGGACAGATTGCCTGGCCTGGAAAATGCAGAGGAGACTTTAGTTCACACATGGTCCTGCAAATGTATCAGCACTTACAGCACTATTGCAATCCCTAGCCTGGAAGCAATAGCAGGTAAGGAGGATATGTGGGGCTTTTTTCTAATAAGCATGCAGTATTCATAGTAAGTTTGTAGTGCTGTAGATCTGGTTTTCAAAATACTTTGTTCATATGATGCAGCACTTAGCACTAGTGGCCATTGATTACTTTGATGTTTGTGCTTTTAATTGTTGCCTGATACACCAGGGGTTTTGTTTGTGCTTGCAAATGCGAGGTGTTTAATTTGTGCGCTGTTGGAGATAGGGTGCAACATTTACCAGACTGTAGATTAGTTCCTGAACTTGGTCCCTACTTCCCCTCTGTGATTTGCTGTTTCTACTTTCAGTGGTGAGATACATTCGAAACAAACAACATGAAAAGTTACTTGGGAGTGTTATACTTGCAAAAATGTTTCTGACTGATCGGCTTGTTACACTTCCCCTGTTAGCTTGCTGTAACTTTGCAGCTGCAGTACATTTCAATGTTTACACAGTGGTGACGAGGACCCCCATGTGCTCCATCTATCATTTTGCAGTACTTTGTCGATACACATACCTAAAGGAATAAATGAATTATTAGATGAATGAAGAACACAGAAAGCATTTTTACTAACCCCTCAGCATCTGTTGCTTGCTTCATGCATAAGATCAAGGAGTAAAAGGTTTGTTGCAAGAGAGCATTTCAGCTTGCCCAGCAGTGATTTCTACAGCAGGACATGTGATAGACCTTTTCTTTGCAACCATATTTTACAAGTGTACTTCCATTGTATGGATATATCAAAACAGAGCAATCACAGACTGCCACAATTTATTTATGCCTCTGATATTTGCCATTTTGCAATCTATTTCAGCCTAAAGACACAAAGCCCAAACACACCAAGGGAAAATGCCAACAGAGAGATAATTTTTGTTAAACTCCCATCTAATACCTTTTCCAGGCTCATGCTGTGGCTTGCTTTGGAAGTGTTGACCAAGAGAAAATGGTCAGCCACAGTCTGAAACTTGCCTCCCTGCCAGCTCCCCACTAACCACAGCTCAGTTTAAGGGACAAACAAGGCCTCTCAACCTCAAATACATGACAAGCTCTCCAGCTACAGATGAAAGGGTGCGAACCCATAAGGCACAATCTGGGCAGTTAGTGAGTAGGATAGCTGCCTGTCATCAGCCATGGAGCTCTTGCAAAGCCTGTTTCTCCATGAGGAGGGACACCATGTGCTGTCCCTCGCTGCTCTGAACCAGTGCTGGGACACGGGGTCATATCTGTAAAAGTTAAAGCCCAGTGCTAAAGGACAGGGGAGAAATAATGTTTTAACCTTGCAGCTGTGCACCAGACAGCAGTCTCAAAGTTGAAGGTGGGAGAACATCTCTGCTTACTTACAGAGAGTGGTATTTCTTGTTTGTTTGTGTGGAAGAGCAGATGTTCATTACTATGAATGTTAAGGAATTCCTGACTCCTCTTGAATACCTTGTCTGACTCCTGTCACAGCAAGCTGTGAGAACTCCTGCTCTGCCAAGCCCTGAAGTTTTTGGCTGCAGTTGTAAGTCATATCTTAGCTACAGCTATTTGGGAATAACTAGCTAGAAGAGATTGAAATGGGTTATACAAGTTTGATGATCTCCAGCTTTTCCTTTCCCATTCTTCTGCTTTAATTACCAGCAGAGGGCTTTCCACTGCCAAGCTGCAAAAACTCGGCCTTTCCTTAAGATGTCCTGAGCCCAAGCATGCAGCCAGGCTGCCACCATGCTGACCACATGAGCCCAGATCCCAGCCAGTGCTGTGCTGACTGTGTGAGCTCAACTCTGGCTGGCTCAGCCTTGGCAGCACCTCGCTCAGCCTCACCCAACCAAACAAGCTGCCACCTCACTGGAGATGCGCTGCAGCCTCCTGTGAGCTGGGGGTTGACAAGGGCGTCTCTATCAACAATGTCTGACCTGGCTTTTGTACAACTACGTGAGTAGTAGTAAGTGCCACGTGCAAGTCACGATGCCATCAACTTGTGATCTGCAAAAAATATTTGGTGAAATGTGGCAGATGGCTGCAGTGCTGACTTTTAAGATTGATTCTTGTCGTTTGGCTGCAGTGAATGTCTGTGCATAAAAAACGGCTTGGTTTACTTCTCAAGACACATTGAAAAAGATTATTCCAAAGACTATTCAATGTTAATTAATACTAGTAACTCACTTACTCAATACCAGTTCAAAGATGCATTAGAAGTTCTGAACTTCAATCTTGCCTCTGGCAAGGAAGGTATTACTGGAATTGCAGACTATTGCACCACAGTTCATCATCTAAACTCTCCTGAGATTCCCTGAAGAAAAACTGGCATTCTCTTTGTGCATGAAAAAGTATCTTTCATTTATTTTAAAAGTGCCCAAAGGAGATCTTCTACAATACCTTCTATGTACTTCCATCAGCTTGGATTGGAAATCAGATATGTTATATTGACAGTACATGGTTAATAAAATAGTGGAAGCCAATGTCCCTACTCCTATTCTACATACCTCACTCACAAATCCATCTGTTTCTCCACTTTTCTGCCCCTCATTTACAACTCCCTTACAGATTTGAGCATTTTAAAGCACAATGATATCATGAGACAGATTTTCCAAACTAGGATCCATTACTGTGGGAATGTTACTTTAGAGCTCCCACATGGAAATTAAAGGTTTAGGGGTCTCTCTGAGAAATGACATTCTGCATAAACCGCAATTTCCAGGACATCCTTCTCCACTCCAGAAGGCTAAGTATGAGCCAAGTAGAGGAAGATTACTCTTATCTTTCCTACCTGAAAAATCTGAACTTTACCTTCAAGGACAATGACCACTTTTCTGTGACCACGTGACCACGTTTCCAGATTCCCATGTTAAAAATTGTATTGAATGCATCATATAGGCATTCCAACAGTAATTTCAAAAATACTATTTCAGACAGGTCTTTTGATTAACAGTTCTTTGGTCCAAAAATATGATACACATATTTCAAGCTAATGCTTTGCCTTTCAATCTCACTATATTTGGAATTTTTATAAAAGCCACACTTCAAAAAATTCCATGAGGAGTTTTGGACCTATAGAGGGGATTTTTGTAAGTTTTTTTTTTTTCTTTATTACGAAGAAAAGGTTAAGAAAGTGGGCTCTAAATTGTAATAAGGACAACATAAAATATTTTTTCTAATTTCATAATTCTTAACCTAATGTTGTACATTTATCTCATAACCTGTGACTGGTGAAGTTTGTCACTGGATTAAAAACTACCGCAAGGAAGAAAAGGAGATTGAATGATGTTGCAACTCAAGAGAATTTCATTTCAGAGAAGAATTAGTGCAAATGTAAATGTTTTATGGAGGCGATTCATTTCACACTTTGGAGATTTGATAACCAAGCTTGTGTCATGCATGAGGATAATGCATTGTTTTGAATCTTGTGTGCATTATGAAATCATATCAGGGTTTGCCAATATGGCTGCATAAGTTTTTCTTCATGCCTTATTGTTACTTCAATTAGATAGAACTAGAGAAAAAAAATCTCCATTATAATTCACCAAAGCTTTCTCTTTAAAGATGCCTACAGATCCCTGCCACTTTCTGCAGGAGTTTGAGTCATCAGCCTGCTTGCTGTATAAATATAATGATAAAATTGCCAGTGAACCATGACAAAGAAGTTCATGTTTCTGCTTAGAGCTGCAAATTATCTGTACAATAGAAAGCTCAAGGCAGCCGTGGCTGGGGCTCCAGAACTGGCAATGTGCAGGTCGCAGATACAAGGGTCTGCCCAGCAGAGATCAACTGCAAATTGCAAACTTCACACACCATCTTCCAAATGTATTTTAAAGGTGATGCCCTTGAGGAATCAACTGTTATCATGGAAGACATGAATTTCACTAATCTTGTAATATACTAATCACTAATCAGCCATATACTACAGCCATATACTACACTAATCAGCCATACACTGATTTCTGTATCCTGAACAGCAACATTTGTAATTGTTGCTGAAGTGGAACAAAAACAAAAAAATCCCTCATGTTTTTGCGCCTTAGTTCTATGTTTTTTCATTGACATTACATCACTTAAAGTAAAATCCAACTCCTTTTAAATTAGTCCTTGCTGTAACCAGACTGAAAATCGTGCTCTTATTCAAATAATACAATAATATGTCATTCTCTTAAACACATAGAACTATTTATATTTTGCATTGCTAGTTAGCAGTAACCTTTTGTATTTAATGCCTTATCTTACAACTGTGCTTTTGCTTGCCAACTTCAGTATAAGACTGTATCTATATAATAGCATCTAAACACTAGGTTTATCAAAATGCTTTGAGGATTTAGACTGCTTTGGGAATTTGCTGTTACAATTAATAGTTGCTGCTACAAGGCCAAAGAGTCATTTTTCTAATTAAAGTTTTTATGCAAAAAAAAGTGTTCTTACACTGGGTGGAAAATTGGTGTAAATGCATGACAGTAACATTTCTGAGGTTTTCTGGCCCTGAGGTTTCATACAGGGAAGAAAAACAGATAATAAAGACAACTGAGTAGAGAGAAGGTATGTGTTCTGAGTATATAAACAGCATTTTGATCTATGTGTCAGTTGAAAAGCATCAGGTAGTGTAAATCTGATTCATCTGTTCTCCTTTTAGAAGAAAAAAGAAAAAGCATGCCCAACACAACCAACAAATATAAGGCATCTATTTTTCAGCTGAAAAATACAGCTGAAACCAACAATAAACAGCATTTTAAAATTATTGTTCAGTAAATCAGGACTAGTTTATAAAAAATCTTCAGGACATAGTTACTTCCCAAATGGTCTGAGACCTCTTCTTTACCACAGGATTTGGCCACTTGGTAGTGATTTTCAGTGTAGAAAGGACAGTACTCAGTGTATTACAGTTTGGTCAGTCTTTCCTTTCTCCTCCAGAAAGGTGTATTGACTTGTGCTCCTGAAGACCGTGTCAAATCATGCAGAACCCAAAAGATTACTTCCTAGCCAATAGCTGACAGAAATGCTCCTGCCATTGTTATTCTGCTCTATGAGATGTC